CACTAGTTTTCTCATACCATCTGTCCCGTGTCTTCCTTTAACAAACCCCACCTGGTCTTCGTGTATTAATGTGTCCATATATTTAAAGAGATGCTAAAGGCACCCAAACCTCTTCATCTTAATTGCCATTGTCACTTCAGTCCTGCAATGTAAAATATTGTTATTTAGTAGAGATTGCAATTTTTTTTTTGTAGGGCTAAACATATCTCCACTGGCAGCCACTAAAAGTGCTTCTACTGTAAGAACCAAATGAAAACCTGTTCTCACATGTCATCTCTTTTCTGTGCTTTCATAGACTGGAGGAGCATGGCTCTCACCATGCATGCACTTCTCAGTCCCAGTACTTCTCTTTAACCCCTTAATGACTAATGACGGACCCTGGGAAGCACTTAACGTCGGATGACGGATAACGTTCATGCGCTAAAGTTAACCCCAGATCGCGGGGTTAACGCTCCTCCGGTGTGCCTCGGTATTTTAGGCAGACCGGGAGCACCCGATGGCGCTGTCCCTGCAGCATTGGTTGCTCTAAATATTTAAATATTTTAAAATTATATATTTTTCTAGCTGGGGTGGGTGGGAGCTATGGGGAATTGGGGAATTTAGTTAGTGCTGCTTACTGCTAGTTAGGGGTTAACTGTAGAAAAAAAGTTTATAAAAATGTTTAAAATGTTATAAGAAAGTTTAAAAAATTTAATAAGCAAACAAAAGTTTTAAAATGAGATATAAAAAGTAAAACAAGTTTAAAAAAGGAAAAAAAACACATTTAAAAATGCTCATTACCACTACACCTGGAACAAACTAGAGAAAAAATGATCCCACGCTAAGGTTCAAAATATGCCTTTTGAATTACCCCTGGGTGTATTCTTTAATAAATAGTATAATAGTATGTGTTTGTGGGGAAGTTTGAATAACCAACCAGCTAAACTACTCCAAAATGGAACATGGACACAGCGTAAAAATTCAAAGTTTGAAAAAAACTGGAATGACTGTCTCAAATGTGCCCCTTCAATGTCCACATACCTGGCAAAGGTACATGTGGGGGTATTGCTGTATTCAGATGACATAGCTGAGAAACATATTAAGAATTACACAGTTGTAGCACGCTTAAAGTTTGCAAAATATACTGTGCAAACTCACTTTGTGTGTCAAAAAGGCAGAAAAAAACGCTAATTACCACTACACTTGGTACAAGCTAGCGGAAAAATGATCCCATGCTAAGGTTCAAAATATGCCTTTTGAAATACCCTGGTGTTACGGCTCTCCCGGCATAAAGAGGTTAAACCGCCATTTAGTAGAGCTTCCCTTTTGCAGAGGTACAGGCACAGCTACTGTAGGCCCCCGAACTCCCAAACTGGAACCAGGGGAATGCTCCAAACTCCTGAACAGTATACCCAGTAGCACTCCAAGCTCCCGAACGGTAATCACACGAATAGCTGGTAACAGACGAGCAGACACAGCATCCAAGCGGCTTACATTCCCAGCAATCAGTCTCTAACCGCGTACAGTAAATCCCCCCAATTACGAGACCAAGCTCCGTATTGAGGGTAAAACAGGATTCTGGTTTATTGAGGGCTACCTGCCCAGTATTTATGCAGGTCTCCCTCCTGGTGGACACTCCCCTAGGGGACCAGTTGGGAGACTGTGACAAGGGACAGACACGTAGCAAATCCTGACACACAGATACAAAATATCCCCACAATGCACCACAACTCCTCCCTCTCTGTCCGGGAGATAATTGGGAAGTAACCCAATTATCTTCCAGGACAGAGGCAAATCGCCATTACACACGTGGGGACAACGATACAGAAACAGGCAATAAAATATATGATGTGACCAATAATGCAACAATTATACACATGTAACATATCCCCAGATAGCTCAGGTCTGAGCGCACGTTAATACAGAATAGCGCTCAGACCACACAAATACAGTTTAATTGCCATGGAGCCAAAGTCTTTAATTACACAAACAGGCTCCATGGCATGCTATCTGGGTACCCTCATTCATTTAATACAAAGTCCCGAAAGCTGGCGTTCTGCTGAATAACTGGTGCAGGAATCAAGGAAAGCTGGAGGTTCAGCGGTTTTTGGTGAGTGAAAGTGTCCGGGCTGAGCACTGCTGGTTGTGCTGGTTGTGCCGGAGACTGCGGAACACCGCCATCGTGTGGCAGCTAGGTGTAACCGCGACCACCCGGGAACAGTCAATTGACGGCACACACTAGCTGCAGGGAGATCAATTGGAGGCACACGCCAGCTTCCCGGTGGTCGCGCCTTCGTGCCTTCGTGCAGCTTTCAGTAGTTTAACAGGGGAACACATACGAACTGTACAGGCAGGGAAATAAACCGAACAAACAGACGAATGGAGGGAAAATAATTGTAATCCATATACAGACAGTTATGTTACACCTGTGATGTCTTCTTTAAGAAATGGTATGCCTTTATGGTGTAGCTGGAAAATGTAGCCTGCTCAAGTGCTCCAAAGTGGGACATGAACACATCAAAACCCTCTATGAAAATTCACACTTTAAAGCCTGAACTTGACACGTCTCTTTTATAGAACTGTAACTCACAAAATAGTGCCTAGATCAGTGTTTCCCAACCCAGTCCTCAAGGCACACCTACCAGTCCAGGATTTAGGGATTACCCAGTTGTGTCTAAGGTGTTTTTACAAAGAAGAAAAAAAACACTTTAGACACAACTGGACACAACTGGGTAATCCCGAAAATCCTGGACTGGTAGGTGTGCCTTGAGGACTGGGTTGGGAAACACTGGTCTAGATCATAGATTGGACATATTGTTTTACTCAGAAGATGCAATGACAGTGGTACATATCAAGTGTAAGAAATACTCAGCAAAAATGCAACAAATTCAATTTTTTTCCCTCACCACAAACATTGACTTAAGTTGGTGAAAAAATGGTAAAACGTTAAGGCACAATATACACCATATAAGATACCCCGGGGTGTCTACTTTATCAAATGTAAGCTGTTTGTGGGGTTATTTGAACAGTCACACTGCTATAATACCCTAAAATGAGACATAGGCCCGTCAAATCCACCTACGAAAATTCTAACTATAGAAACTGAAATAGCCTTATCTCTTATATGGCATTGTAGCTTTACAGCTTTACAGAATAGTGCCAAAGGCATACAATGGGGGTATCATTATACTCAGCAGATGTAGCTAAACACAATATGGGGTTCTGTGCAGGAAAAGAACACACCAGCTTTACAAAATACACATTACAAAAACCTTGTTATAGGTGTATATGCCAAAAAAATAGAAAAAACACAATTTTACTCCAATAATTAGCAGAGATTGGCGATGAAATGGCTACGTAAAAAGTGTCAATAACCTTAGGTAAATAACCTGTGATGTCTTTTATATATAAATATATACTTTTGTGTGGCAATTTTTTTTTTCTGTGATGGCTACTAGAGTTGAGCGAACCCGGATTCTAAAGTTCGGGTTCGGACCGAACATTACGTTTTTTGGACCCCGGACATATCAGTGTATGTTCGGGTTGGAGTTCGGTGTTCAACAATTTAATGGCCCGTTTTAAAAGGCTGCTGGGAACTCGTTTGCCCTTAGAAGCCATCACAGCCATGCCTACTAATGGCATGGCTGTGATTGGCCAGTGCAGCATGTGACCCAGCCTCTATATATAAGGTGGAGTCGCATAGCGCCGCACGCACATGAGCTCTTATTAGTGTAGGGAGAGGATGCTGCAGCTGTGATACACAGTTTGGGAAAGAATTCTGGTGTTGAATCTGCAAACTACAACGATTATTCAAACTACAGCGATTATTTTTGTGGGTGCTATAATAATACCTTTTTTGTACTCTGCCCTGAGTCCAGTGCCACAGAGAGTGCAGTGCACTTGCAACTGCATGTGTGCCAGGCACATTACTTTAATCCTGTTCTGGTAGCTCAGTGGGCAACATCTAGGCATTTTTAAATACTGCAATTTTTTGGGTGCTAAATAGTACATTTGCGTACTGCATTTCTTGCAGTCCAATAAAACCCTTAAATACTACTGTTACATTGTTGGTTTAAAAAAATCAAACTTTTTTGCTGCTTAATAGTACATTTGTGGCCTGTGGTGCACTTCATTTCTAAGAGTCAAATAGAAACGTCAAATACTGTGCTTACAGCGCAGTTTTAAACATTTGAATTCTTTAGGTGCTAAAAAGTCAATTTGGTGCCTGCACTTCATATCTGAGAGTCAAATAGAACCTTCAAATACTGTGCTTATATTGCAGTTTTAAACATTCAAATTCTTTAGGTGCTAAAAAGTCAATTTGGTGCATGCAGTTCATATCTGAGAGTCAAATAGAGCCGTCAAATACTGTGCTTACAGCGCAGTTTTAAAAATTCCAATTTTTTGGCTGCCTAATAGTACATTTGGGGTGTGCACTTTATATCTGGTGTATGTGTGCAACACTGGCTAGTTACCGCTTCTCAAGAAAGTCTAAAGACTTTTTAAAAGTGAAAAATAAGTGTTATTGTGATCGCTTCATATACAGAAGCATTAATATACATTTCTATATTGTGTAAAGACACAACTACAAAGTTAAAAATCAAACACCAAAACAACGTGGAATGAAGGTCATGCAAGTGAAGTGTGCAGTTTGGAGGAAGAGGCGCTGGTCGCACAGAGGCACCAGCACAAGAGGGAGCAGGGTGCAAAAGTGGAGCAGCCGTCCCCTAGCGCTCGTCGGCATGTATTATCTTTAGAATTCCCACAGTTATCCAAGTAACAGATGGAGCGATAAAAGGAACCATAACAGATTTAACAAGCCATTCGCAGTTTCACAGTCAGGGGGCAGTCCGGTGACCAGGACCCAGACACTGTGTGGGCGGCGGTCGGACGACTGGGACCCAGTATGCCTGATGTTGAAGTTAGGAGTCACAGTGTGGAATAGATTAGCAGGGTCTGGTGCAGGGTAACCGCACACCCCCTGGTGTTGAGCACCAGCGTTTGTGCGGCCACATACCAGGACCCTGATGCAGCTTCAGTTTCAGCTGCAGCACGCACAGGTCAGTCGCTCTGCACCAGACTTGCCCTCCAATTGATCCAAGTTAAAGGATTTAAAGTGGACTCATTACAATTACAGGGCCTCGAAAGAGTAGTGTATTGTTAATTGTCGTCACTACCTCCCCGCGTCGGGAGTGGCTAATTTGCGCGCCTGCTGCCTTCCTTGCATGTGGTAGCAGTTTCTCAAGCTCCCTCTCTGGAATCGAACACTGATTCCCCGTTACCAGTGGTCACAATAATAGGCGTGGAAAATAGAAACGAAAGTTGATAGGGCAGACATCTGAATGCGTTGTCGCCGTCACGGGGACGTGCGATCGGCACAAGGTTATCACAGACAAGCGCAGTCGCCTGTCTACGGCTCAGGTTTATTAAAATGAACCAGGCATGGATCCCACCAGACTTGTCTGTACCTTGTGCAGAATCGACATTTATACCGGCCTCACCCAGCCTTTGTTATACTCAAGTGCACTTATTCTTTGTTTTCTTTTTTTATATGTCCCAATATTTTGGGGGCTACCCCCAATTAAAAAAATAAAATAAATAAAAAACAGTGTTGGCTACCTCCTCCTCCACCGCCGCTGCTTCCACCTACACCGCCACGGTGTATACCCAGATCTATCAGAGTTGCTGCACAAAAGTGCGGGCCCTCTGTGCACGCTTGTGGTGTTCTCACCCTGCTGCTGCTTGCCTGTCTGCGCTGCAGCGTAATTTAGGCCTTCACACTCACCGCCTCATATGCGACGTGCCCACAAGGTGGAACTCCACCTTGCACATGCTGGAGAGACTGTGTGAGCAGCAGCAGGCAATAGCGGAGTTTCAGCTGCAGCACGCACGGGTCAGTCACTCTGCGGAACAGCACCACTTCACCACCAATGAGTGGGCCTCCATGTGAGACCTGTGTGCCATGTTGCGCTGTTTCGAGGACTCCACTAACATGGCCAGTGCGGATGATGCCGTTCTCAGCCTTACTATCCCGCTTCTATGTCTCCTTAAAAAAATGCTTCGGGCGATGATGGAAGAGGATGTGGCACAGGAGGAAGAGGAGGAGGAAGAGGGGTCATTTCCATGGTTATCAGGCCAGTCATTCACAAGTGGCTCAGAGGGTCGGTTCCTGCACCAGCATAGGCCAGGTACACAATTGTCCAGCATCTCCACACTGTCCCATGGAAGCGTTCAGCTGTCCATCTCCCAAACACTGGAGAGAAAGAGGAAGTACCCCGCGATCCCTGGCCCTAAATGCCAGCATTTCAAAATTCCTGACCTTTGAAATGCTGTCATTCCGTCTGGTGGAGACGGACAGCTTTAAAAACCTGATGGCGTTATTGGACTGCAAGAAATGCACCGCAGGCCACAAATGTTTCTTTTTTTATATGTCCCAATATTTTGGGGGCTACCCCAATTAAAAAAAAAAAAAAACACAGTGTTGGCTTCCTCCTCCTCCTCCACCGCCGCTTCCACCTACACCGCCACGATCACCGCCTCCTCAACCTTTGGGTCACTTAGTATAAACTATGTACACAATAGCAGAGGCTTGTGAAGGCCTTTTCTCCATGCATCAGGAGTTGAGCTCAGTTTGAACAATGAAAGAATACCCTGCACTCCAACCCTCTCTCAAATGGATAATTCTGGTGATCCTCCTGACAGCCATGCTTTGATGTTCTATCAAAGCTAAAATCAAAGACTCCATCTAGTGCTATTTTATGGCTCAGCTGTATTTTTAATCTTTATGTATTTTATGTTATTTTAAGTGATTTCCCTATCCACATTTGTTTGCAGGGCACTTGTCCTACTCTTACCCTAATTTTACTTCCTTTTGCAGCCCTCTAGCCCTTCCCAGGACTTTTTAGAGCCATTTTTGTGCCCAAAAGTTCAGGTCCCCATTGACTTCAATGGGGTTTGGGGTCAAGTTCATTACCGAACCCGTACTTTTTTCCGAAGTTCAGCCGAACCCGCCGGACCCGAACATCCAGGTGTCCGCTCAACTATTGGCTACGAAACCTATAAGACAAACATATCAACATCTAAAATTTTTGCAAATTGAAATTATATTTAGTCCTTGTATTTTGTGACCTGTAACTTTCAAAATAAGCTGAAATCCTCTACATATGATGTACTCTATAAATCAAGACACATAAATTAATTTATTTTGAATTACTGGACATATTATGCACACACTATTATTGCCAAATCTGTGAGGAAAATGTTGGGGTTTTTGGGTTTTTTTTGGCATTTTTTTATAATTAATGAGAATGTATCTACGTATATGTGACATCAACTTAAAGCCCTGTTTGCCCTCTAAAAATCGGTATATAAAATGTTTTGGTGCATTAAACAACAGAGATACAAATTGCGTTTGAACACAAACAGCAAAAAATGGCTTGTGTCTTTAAGGGTAAAACAAGCTTCTGAAGCTGTGTCGTAAAGGGGTTAATGGATGGCACTGGATTAGATGAGAAGACAACGAAGTGACACCTGCAAAATGATGTCACCAGAGGACTGGGTTGCTACATAGAGCGAGTCTCAGTAGTGGAAGAAAAGGTAATTAAAAAAATTTAAATTAGGGCAGCCTTAATCTAGATATAGAAGACTATAGAGTTAGAAATACATATTTGCGTTATTAACTCTATAATGTTCATTTTAAGAAATAATGATAAAGATCACAGATAATTTAAGCTCATTATCTACCTCTTTCACCAGAAATGTTTTTATCTAGAAGTCTAAACACAGATATAACTGCACAAAGTCTTTTATCATCAGATAGATATGTTTCTTTTTTTGGATAGTTAAACCACAACTTCCCATAATTACTGTATAAAAGGACACATTCTATGCCTGAAAAAGATAGACACCAGTGATTACGAGAAAAAAACAAAAAAAAAAAACAAGAAGCTACTGAGAAGGTCAGAATAGTATTATTACTGAATAAAACAGAAAAAAAATATTAAAATGTATTGTTGTAACCATTTATTTAATTTTCTGTTCAGGATGTGTACATTTCTGTTGTTGCTGTGTTTGGTGGGGTCTATCTCCACTCAAGAGTCTGGTAAGTTGAAAAGAAAACTGAGATAATATTATACGTTATACGGTTTTGTATTATTATTATTATTATTATTACTACCATTTAGCTGATACTTGACTTATAATTTGCCTTCAGGTGATAATGGTCAGGAAGACTATGAAATCCAAAACAATATAGAACCTTCCACTCTAAGTCAAGACACATCTGAAGATCATCTGGAAGATGTTCTGATATCTGATAAAGGCACAGTTTCCAAAATATGTCCTGAGGGTGATAACTGTAAATTTTACAAATTCTTTTACCATCATCGTAATTTTCATACAGCTCAGGTTGGTGCTTGCTGGTTTTCATATGTTTTTTTTTTATTTGTATCTATATATAATGCAAGTTTTATAATACACACAATGTGTGAATAAGAGCATGTAGTCCACCAAACTATCACCACAATAATCAGTCTTTACCAGCATGATAGCAGTGGATTACAATTCTGACTATAGTTAGCTAATCAAAAGACAACAAAATTTATGCAGTGGGAACTTTTCTTTTGGTCACTGACAGAAAACATCTTCCATTCTGACTTATTTACATGTATAAGATATGAAAGTTCAGGCTGGAGAAAAATTGAGAAACCATAGTGCAATACTGATTGTGAATAACAAATACACTTTAATTGTCACACTTACAAGGTAAAAAATTATAAAATACGTTCTCATGATCCCCAGTCCAGGTCCAACAATATATTGATGAGCCTGAACTTTCAGTCATTCTGTGAGTGCAACCTTTAACTCTCGGGGTGATCTAATATTACGTTACTACCCTATAAGTACTTTCTCTATTTTATATTTTTAGGTATATTTTGTTTTTCTAGTTTTGTATGAGGATTGAGAGGAGTCCTTTGGGTATATTGTGCCGCTTATAAAGGGGGTGATTACCTTTTCATTGATTTTGCACTTCTGCACCTGGGTGGTCTATACATCTGTTTGTTCATATTGACTTATTTACATGACAGTTCTACTTTGCAGCTGCTGGAATGTCTGAAGTTGTCTGTGATTGGCTCAGGATGAGCTATAATCATAGACGTGTATAGAAAATATTACTTAGCTTTGTCAAATTTCTTCTGATGATACCTACATGAAAACAATTGCAATTATTACTCTTTTATTTATAAACATTTGTGCCTGGCAAATAACTTTTGAAAATAATGAATTTGATGTCTGCGGTTTAAGGGTACATCCTTAATTCAGTTAACAATATTCATGCACTAATTTTAGATATACCATACAAGGGGGGTCTATTTAAGTAGTGCCTAAAAGTTTGAAGGCAAAAAAAAAATAAAGTTGTACTTGGAGTTGCATCTTTGGATATAATGTGTGACTCTTCTTGCTCAATTCACTGAATTCTAATTCTTGGTTTGTCTTTATCTACATTGTGTTCCACAGGGAATCTGTAGACACTTTGGTGGGAATCTCTGTTCAATTCACAGCACACGGGCCAACAGACAGATTTCGAATTTCGTGAGGAGAGCACATAAAGGTGTGACATTGGTCTGGATTGGTGTGAGGAACTATGGAGGAGTAAGCATCATTTCATTCAATTTTTTAACAAAGTAAAAGTAAATTTAGCATACGGAAATTATTTTTCTTTGTAACTGTTTCAAATACCAATAGAGATTATTAGAATTACTATTATTGTTTGCCTTATGCACAAAAATACTGACTTACACCTGCTGCAATCCTTTTCTTGCAATTGTTGCACAGTTTTTATGTACATGCACTCCTTCTCAATTCTAAAAACTACTAGGTTTTCCCCTAATTGAATGGCTCTAATTTGGTTTATGTGGACAATTTTATTTTTTTAATCTGTTGATTTATTTCAAATTGATGTTACTATACAGCTCTGATCAATATGTGCTGGAGCTGTTTATTGATCAAATTAGTCCAAAAAAAAAAAAACATCAACATTTCTATAGCAGCTGTCATATTATCAGAGAACTGTCATCAGTCTACAACTCACCAGTTTTTTTTTAAGTTGCAGTGAAAAATTATCTACACAAACCTCTTTATAAAACATATGTTTTTCTGGCTTTATCTGGCACACAAACTCCAAGGTTCTTAACTCCAAGGTTCTTTTTTACTACTCTGGTGTACTGTTTTCCCCAGCACTATGTATTGAATTCTCTTTGTTTTCATGTATTCTAGGTAACTGTTACATGTACATTGCCTAAACGACATACTTTATATTAGAGTTATATTAGATTAATTTAATCTAGTGTGTTTTAGCTTGGACACACTGAAGTATGTGCATTCATGTTTTTCTTGAACAACACTGTCTATATAAATCAGATACATGCTGAATATCCATTTTTTATTGTTTGCATACATATATTTGTGTTTGGGGCATTCTCATATGATATAGAATAAGATGGGTTGTAGAGATGTAGCTTTAGGAATAATCGGTTGAGGTGTGCCAAAACCGACGTATGCTGTAGGCCGGTAAAAAGTGGGCAAAAAGAGACATATTAATGCAAAACATTATACAGGATCATAGTGCATTTGTTAACCATCAGGTAGACATTTTAATGAAAGCTTCCTAATTCCTGAATCGGCTGTGGTATGTAAGTCGCATAAGTCTATGATTCCCAGTAGCAGTTTTGATAACTGCATAGGTGCGTGGCTCGGAAGGTGCATGGTCGAGTGGTTCTGACATGATTTGAACATTGTATGTCTATGGCCAGTATTTAGTTTTAGCAGGAACGTCCGCTTAGCTATGTCTCTAAGTAAGGTATGGATGGGGTAGGAGGATAGGAACCCTTGTTGTTTGGGAAGGAGAAATACGTATAATGTTGAATGCCCGTGAGATAAGTTTAACCGTGTTGTGCGAGAATTTTTAACTTAAGGTGGCAAAAAGAGGCGAAGGCCATAAGTGGTGAAACCTCAAACCAGCTATCTAAGTGATGGTCCGACATGAAACGTATTGTATAAGTGGAAAACCCTGTAGCAAGCGTGTTGAGTGCTGGTGGACAAGACCAGTTTAGTCAGAGCCCGGCTATGTTGGCGAGGTTCATGTAATCCATGACCTTGACCATAAATGACCCCCTTGCCATGGCTGCTGTCACGACAGCTGCCACAATAGTTTACCATTACGTGTTGTTAAGAAAGTCCACCATAAGTGTAGGTCTGCCGTGGCTTGGTTGTCTAGGGACAGCCCCTGATCATCATGCGGGAGTGTGGAAAAAGCAAAGTGGTCTTAGATGAAAGCGTGGCCTGTGGTATAATGCGCATGGCAAAATTTAAGGAACCTGGTAGGGATTGTAGTTCCATGCGGTTGCAAGTACCAAGCAGGAGGTGGTAATTGGTGTTGTTGCGACTGTTCCTATTTCCACCAAAAGTAGAACTTTGGACACGAAAATATATATTCTATTGGACTCAACACCCAGTGTACACATCGGCGCAGACCCATCCCCCCATCTTTCTTGTTCCTACCATTTGATTTCCAAGGACACTAGAAGGAGTCCTTGTTTGGGACTGCTGCCTTTCTGACTAGCGCTGACTCTACCCCCCGTTCTGCTGCCCATAAATGCCCTGTAAGTGCCAGTGTAGGGTGGATGGTGGCAGTCTGAAATGCGTTTGTGATATCAGTTTTACTTAACCAGGCTTCCCCCCCTTCTTGAGTGATAGCTGTAATGGTTTGAACAATGGTGGCATACTGTAATGAAAACTCCTCAGAGGGTATGAGGGAGTTGAGACTTGGGGTAGCTGGGACAAAATTGTTGTGTGGGACTAGCAACATCTTCTCCAAGTGAATGTGTGTTGACTCTAGCTGGAGTGTTAGGTAGAGAGAAATCCTTACCACCTGCTTGATACATACTAAAAAACATGAAGATAGCCATTATTATATGAACCCACAGTGTGCTAGTACTGGCTTGCTAGCTAAAGCCACATGGCGAAACAATTAATCCTTTGTTTGGTGACAGGTGAGGCCCTGCTAGTTGCCAAGTGGCTTGAGAGGCTCTATCTATGCAATGGTGCAAGGGGATTTTTGTGGCCACCAAACGTAGTGGCAGGATGTTGGCCTCTCGGTGACTGAAACCAGAAAAAAGGGGAAGGGAGTGACAGGTGAGGCCCTCTCTATACACCATGTAAGGCGGCTAGCTCACGAGTGCCCATATGTGTGTTATGCAAGTTTAAAAGAGAAAAGTGCACCGTCCCAATGTTTATTGTATGCTTGTAATGCCCCTGTTTGAAGGAAATTAACTTTTCGGGAGTGTTATATCATGTGTGATATGGAATACAACTGTACCCCGAAACATGAGTGCCGTGAACCATGACTGGCAGCTGAATAACCTAATATGTGAAAATGCGTAATTGGAAGGACTTATATTTTAAGCGTGCAAACATGCAAATATTCCGTATTAGACTCTGGAATCCAGACCCCTTAAGGACCAAATTTCTGGAATAAAAGGGAATCATGACATGTCACACTTAAATTCTGTTTGCAAATTATTTTGAGCATTTAAGCATTTGTGGTGATTTTATGGTGTTTATTTTGAATAGAGGTCCTCCCAAGTCTTTAAACCTACCATTCAATTTATCAGACATGCACTAATGCACTCCCCTTATAGATTTTTATATACATATGCTTGCTCTCTTAAACACAGAATTAACTTACCACACACTCACACTATTACAGAGGCACACTTATTTATACACACTCTAAAGCTAAATTATGCACACTCTAATACTTTAAATAACACGTGCACTCATTAATTTATGCACAATTGCAACAAATTGCAATCACACTTAAAATTACACACACACACAATGAGATAATGTGTCTCTGTATAATAATAGATGTTCTAAAATTAGTTTTTGACCTTCTAGGCCATGATCTGTGACTACATTTTAGGAAAGAACAATGTTTAAGGTTACAGGTTGTATCATTGACTTTTTTTTTGTTGTTGTTGCAATTCCTTTCAGAATTCTCCATTCAGAAATGTAGATGGAACTCGACTGGATTACACCAACTGGGGATGTGGGCTATCTTCCAGTACTAGTAGGTGCACTGCCCTTAATATTCACAGTAAGTAAAAAAAAAAAAAAAAAAAGTCTTAGCCTTAAGCTGAATTTATAGTCTTAGGTCCTGACACTATAATAGCTTCTACCTGCAGTGTACGATTTGGTTCTGGTGAAATCAATAAAACGCAGACTTAACTATGGCCCCTGTACAAATTTTCTGTAAAATTAGAAGTGGTCTCTGCTGAGTAATTACTGATGTGGCTATCATACACTCGGCTACCAAGAGCAGTGCATAATAAAATGGCATGAATCTGAAAACGTGTTTCATTTTACTGTACTCATACAGTGATCAACTTGGCCTTTGTTAATGAAATAGAAGTTAAACTTGTTATTCAGACGTGTGAATGGCATGTTCATTTTAAAAGTTATTTATAATCATTGTGGCTCTCACAACATCCCCCAAATCTTTCCAAAGTAGTATAACACTGTCTGTCATAGAGTGCAGAGAATACCAGGTGAGGAGAACACATATATGGATCTTCTATCCACCTAGTTCTAGAGATATGTTATTTATAAGTTAAAACACAAATTAGGAAAATTGCTACACACTGCAATATATTATGTTTTAAAAAAAGATACTGATAAGCCCCTGTAACGGATCACCTGGCACCCCGACTGGGTACCTCCGTTGAAGGATGCACCTAGCGCTTACAGAGGGCTCCAAGCGCTCCGCAGGCACCACAACCACCGCAGACCCAACTAACCGCCCCAGCTTGGTTGGGGTCTCGCTGTCTCCTACCCACCCTGGACCTACGACAAGGCTACAAGTTGCAGTGGGTGAACCTCTCCTCCAAGAGAGTGAAGCAGGAACAAGCTCTTAAAAGAGCTTAGTAGTGATTAGCTAAGGGAGTATGCAGAGCATAGCAATCCCTTGTAGTGATATAGTAATTCCCCCAATAAGAGACAGGACTCTAGATTGAGGGTGAAGAAGAACTGTCTGTACTGGCACATACAGCCTCTTTTATTCACATTCTACAAACATAGTACTGCCCACAGGGTTTTGGAGAACAACCAATCAACACATTACAACACAGCTAACACTCCCATTCATTACATGAGAAATCCTCCCCTCTGCCTGTGATACAATTATCCCAACACAATAGACTAACTTAATTATCACAGGCAGGAAAATACGGTATTGTAAAACATATCACAGGGACCCCAAAACATGCAATAACCCCATAAAAAACCGGGGGATCTGGGTGAACCACATATCCAAAATTCACCCAGATCCGTTCAATAGTTTGGAAGATACGGTTTAATACAGATTCCGCAGAACATATACAGGCTATATGAAAAATAATTACTGTTAAATGTGTCCAGTGTTCTGTAGTTCAAAACTACTGAACGATGTCTTTGTGCACCAAATACCGGCGAGATGGCACTGTGTAGAAAAGTCAAAACAGTGTCTGTGAGTTAAAATGGCTGCCATCCAGTGTTCTCACCATGTGCTTCATCCATTGTTCTCACCATGTGCATCTGATACATGAAATGGTGGCCACCCAGTAACTCCACAGTTTGTCCCCAGATGGTTCTTAAAGGGCCAGCAGCAGCATAATAAAATACAGTATGCTCAGATCAGTTCCTTAAAGGGCAATACATCCCAGGGCCATAGTCGCAGGGCAGGAGGCTGGCAAACAGGCCCCTCCAAAAACCAGTGGCGAGGTCACTTTCGCCACAGCCCCTTTTGCTAATTTTTATTTTTTGCTTTTTTTTTACAGCTGGACGATGGCATACTTTCCATTGTGGGATACTTCTGCCATTTGTTTGCACCTGCTAGCAATGTTGTTGACCTGCAACTTACAACACATTTTACTCTTCATGGGCATTCCAGACCCAACTTAATATGCATTTTTTTTAAAACATATTTTCAATAAAGTTTGAAGCAACATGTATATGTATGATGTTCTTTGTGTGTCCTGCATTGTATAATACTGAGTAGTTTTATTTCCTGTTGATATTAATATATACTATAAAACCTTGTAAGTGAGCTTGGATTCTTACATGTGTTAATGTCTCAATAACTTACTATGTTTCACTTTAAAAAGTTGACACTAAGAAATTCACCATCACTATTGCCTCTTTATAATGTCACCACATACAGTGCTATGTACATTGGTGTACATACTGCTGCAATGACTGAAGGTACAGTAGAGCACCCAGCTAAATAGGGACCACACGTGGCTAAGAATTCTAGATGTTACATAGTTATATACAGTTGCAAGAAAAAGTATGTGAACCCTTTGGAATGATATGGATTTCTGCACAAATTGGTCATAAAATGTGATCTGATCATCATCTAAGTCAAAACAATAGACAATCACAGTCTGCTTAAACTAATAACACACAAAGAATGAAATGTTGCCATGTTTTTACTGAACACACCATGTAAGCATTCACAGTGCAGGTGGAAAAAGTATGTGAACCCTTGGATTTAATAACTGGTTGAACCTCCTTTGGCAGCAATAACTTTAACCAAACGTTTCCTGTAGTTGCAGATCAGACGCGCATAACGGTCAGGAGTAATTCTTGACCATTCCTCTTTACAGAACTGTTTCAGTTCAGCAATATTCTTGGGATGTCTGGTGTCAATCGCTTTCTTGAGGTCATGCCACAGCATCTCAATCGGGTTGAGGTCAGGACTCTGACTGGGCCACTTCAGAAGGCGTATTTTCTTCTGTTTAAGTCATTCTGTTGTTGATTTATTTCTATGCTTTGGGTCATTGTCCTGTTGCAACACCCATCTTCTGTTGAGCTTCAGCTGGTAGACAGATGGCCTTAAGTTCTCCTGCAAAATGTCTTGATAAACTTGGGAATTCATTTTTCCTTCGATGATAGCAATCCGTCCAGGCCCTGACACAGCAAAGCAGCCCCAAACCATGATGCCCCCACCACCATACTTCACAGTTGGGATGAGGTTTTGAGGTTGGTGTGTTGTGCTGGATTTTTTCTTCCAAACAACTCAACTTTGGTTTCATCTATCCACAAAATATTTTGCCAGTACTGCTATGGAACATCCAGGTGCTCTTGTGCAAACTGTAAACGTGCAGCAATGTTTTGTTTGGACAGCAGTGGCTTCCTCTGTGGTATCATCCCATGAAATCCATTCTTGTTTAGTGTTTTACGTATTGTAGATTCGCTAACAGGGATGTTAGCATTTGCCGGTGACTTTTATAAGTCTTTAGCTGACACTCTAGGATTCTTCTTCACCTCATTGAGCAGTCTGCACTATGCTCTTGCAGTCATCTTTACAGGACGGCCACTCCTAAGGAGAGTAGCAGCAGTGCTGAACTTTCTCCATTTATAGACAATTTGTCTGACCGTGGACTGATGAACAGCAAGGCTTTTGGAGATACTTTTATAACCCTTTCCAGCTTTATGCAAGTCAACAATTCTTAATCGTAGGTCTTCTGAGAGCTCTTTTGTGCGAGGCATCATTCACATCAGGCAATGCTTCTTGTGAGAAGCAAACCCAGAACTGGTGTGTGGTTTTTTATAGGGCAGGGCAGCTGTAACCAACACCTCCTATCTCATCTCATTGACTGGACTCCAGTTGACTGACATCTCACTCCAATTATCTCTTGGAGATGTCATTAGTCTAGGGGTTCACATACATTTTCCACCTGCACTGTGAATGTTTACATGGTGTGTTCAATAAAAACATGGCATAATTTCATTCTTTGTGTGTTATTAGTTTAAGCAGACTGTGACTGTCTATTGTTGTGACTTAGATGATGATCAGATCACATTTTATGACCAATTTGTGCAGAAATCCATATCATTCCAAAGGGTTCACATACTATTTCTTGCAACTGTAGTTACAGAGCTGAAAAAAGACTTGTGTCCATCAAGTTCGGCCTTCCTCACATTTGTTTTTTGCTGTCGATCCAAAACACAAAACACGTGTTACACTTCATGGCACCTTGAAGGCACATTTTAATTCTATGTCCCTCTTTACTTTAAGTTCCCCATAAACATATATAGGACCCAACCCTAACTACCTGAACACTACACACCTGCAGATGTTTATGAAAAAAAAATCACCTAAAGGTAGGTAGTCATGAAAAACATAACTCATAATCAGCTACAGTGCAGACTTAGTCACACCATTATAGAACATGCTATACATTAATACACAATAGAGCGCTGTTAGATGCTTTCTAAAAGCAAACAGTATCCGCTAAGAAATTATATTTGACTGTTTTCATCATACAGCTTTTTATAGGTGTGTATTTAATATAGCCATCACAAAATATATTTCCACATACATTTAGGATTTAGTATAAGGGGCTTTCCAAGTTCATTCTTGGGCATTACTGTTTTTAATCATCCTTGAACTGGTTAAGAATGAATTGAATTGTAAAATGTAGGTCAAATTAGGCAAGTTGGAAAAAAAAAGAGTTGGTAATTTTGTTCCCAATACAGCTGCTTTGATCTAAAATTTACAATTTACTTTTCAATTAACCACAATTCAGTGTTTGCCCAAAAAATACTTGCTTGTGTATTTAAATGGTTATCTGTGTTGTAATGTTGCTGAAATTCCAACCCAGTGAAACGATATCATGAGACAAAGTAGGACTACTGTCCCAACACAGAGGACATCATACCGAGAGCGCTTCTAAAGTGCAAGTGCATCTAATTATGCAGTAGGGAAGGGTTGGATGAGGATGGTTTCCTGCTGTTCGCAGATATGGAAATCAAGGGAGTAAATCGGTAATATGTCCAAAAGCAGGACACTTTAACTATTTTCCAATTTTAATTTTTTTAAATTGTGTATGTATAGAGATGAATATTTATTATATTTATTAATATTTATTAAAATTCTGTTACTGGGGAGGGGAGCTGTGTGTTTGTGTAGGTGCATGGTGGCTGTAAGTGTTGTAGTTGTCTGTGTGATATATGTAGCTGGGAGTGATGTGTGTATTTTGGCTGTGTGATGTGTGGGTAGTTGTGTGTTTGTACGAGTATTTGTGATAGATCTGCACAGCAGTGCAGTAGAGAGAAAGTCTCTCTTGATACAAAAAAGGAAAAAAGGGATAATAGGTGGAAGTAATATGGGAAGGGATGTATGGAGATGACAGGAGTGTAGGTAAGTTAAGATATGGATGGGAGTGGTATAATGAAAGAATGATATGTCTTGATGTGATAGGAAGATGCAGAGAGAATGATGGGGTGTGAAAGATTGTGGTGTAGGTTAGAGTGACAGGAAAGGTGGGAAATAGGGAGTGATGGGGAGTCATGAATGAATAGGTGGGAGTGATGTAGTTAATTCTAATATTTTGTCCATAACAATGGGTATTGAAGGAGTGATGGGTATGTCAGGATTACAGTATGATCCAGCATGTAGAATTTGTAACACGGAGGACTGATAGGTAACGTATACCGGACCTTAGAATGGCCGGACTAACGTACCAAAGAATAGTCAGGAATAGCCGAGGTCAAGGGACACAGAAAGAGACACAACAATAAGGAAAACCCAGGGGTCAGGGATGCCAGAAAACCGAGAAGTCAAAATGAATACCAAAGTAAAATAACCAGAAAAAACAGAATCAATAACGCGCTCTCGGACAACCACAAGGGAAACTACGACAGGGCACTGAGCAAGAGGAGAACTGGGCCTAAATACCCCGCCTGTGCATCCGACTGGTTGTAACTGGCCTTTTACCCAAAAGGCAGTTACCAGGTTCCTATTTGCATGATCGCTGCTCAGCACAAACCCTCCTGTGGATTGATTGCTGCTCGGGACAACTTTTCCTGTCAGGACAGTAATTTTGCTTGGCACAACTTTTCCTGTCAGAACAGTAAATGCCATTAATCACATTTTTTATGTGCGGAATACGTGACATTATCCCCCAACCTAAAGAACGCCCACTGGGCGGGCAGGACTAGGCTTGAGAGGAAACTTGGCATGAAAATAGTGAATCTTGCGGCCAGCATGTATATCAGATGCCGGAACCCAAGAACGATTGGCTGGTCCATAACCTTTCCAATCCACCAAGTACTGTAAAGTGTCCCGAGAAAACATGGAATCAATTATGGAGGAGACCTCATACTCTTCCTGTCCAGAAACAACTAAGGTAGGAGGAGGGACACTTGAGACAGTATATTTATTGCAAACAAGAGGTTTGAGTAAGGACACATGAAATTAGGAATTATATTAGGATATTAGGAATTTTCAAGGAGGGAGGGAGGGTCAGGAAGGACACGATATAATTTCTAATTAGTGGGGTAATAGCTGCTTGATCCAAGGAGACATCTGACTGCTATTTTGGGGTCAAGAAGGAATTTTTTCCTAGTTTGTGGCAAAATTGGAAGCGATTCAGACTAGGTTTTTTGCCTTCTTTTGGATCAACAGCAACAACATATGTGAGGAAGGCTGAACTTGATGGACACAAGTCTCTTTTCAGCTATGTAACTATGTAACTATGTCTTGGTATTGTATAGGGATCTTGGGATTTTGAGGTGTAGTAGTGGGTAATTCAATAGTGCCCACTCTTTTGGTGACATGTAATATGCACATTTCTTTACAATCCTTACCCCATTCTAATATTTAGCCCAGTCAATATGAGGGATATGCTTGCTAAGCCATGGGAATCCTAATATGATAGGACAAGAAGGAGATGCAATCACCTGAAATGCAATCTCTTCCTTATATAAGGCACCAATGGAAATATTAATGGGTAAGGTTTCATGTGTTGTCAATAGCTTCAACAGCTAGGGGTGATAGTCTCTCCTTGATAAGTATAGTATTACCCTTGACAAATTGAACGTCAATGAAGTTTCCAGCAGCACCTGAATCCATCAGGGCTTTGCATGAAAAGTTATTTTTCTCAAAGGTGATAGAAATATCAAGGAGAAACCTATTTTTATTCTTTCCAGAGGACGTTTCCATTACACCTAAGACCTGTCCCTTTAAGGTGCTTAGGTGCGGTAGTTTTCCAGGCATATGGGACAATTGTTTCTCATATGTCCCTTCCTACCGCAGTATAGACATAGGCCTTCTTTTCTCCTATTTTGTATTTCTGCTTCAGACAGTCTAGTGACCCCCAACTGCATGGGCTCGGGTTCGGACTGCACAGGAATTTCAGGGA